ATGTGTTTACACGTTTTTGAACATGAGCCAAAATTTGGCAAGTTGCTGAACATAGGCCCAACATACGGCCAAGATCGGTCCAGCATGGCCCAACATGCCCCAACATGGGGCCTCGTCCAATATAGGCCTGATTTGGCTAAACGTGGCTCTCTTGGCTCAAGATAGGCCTAAGAATAGGCTCAATAGGCTCAACATAGGCCCAACATAGCCTAACACAGGTCCATTTTGGCACCATGTTGGGTATGTTGGGCCTAGGTTAGGCCTATGTTTGGCCAAGGTGGGACCTATGTTCAGCAACTTGCCAAATTTTGGGTCATGTTCAAAAACGTGGAAAACATATGGTTCTAGAGCAAAAACGCACCCCCCTTGCTGGAGCTTATATTGGGATATGTTGGGTTCAGTTTGGCGCATGTTAGGCTATGTTGGGCCTATCTTGGGCCTATGCCGGGCTTATGTTAAGCCTATTGAGCCCATTCTTAGGCCTATCTTGAGCCGAGAGAACCATGTTTAGCCAACTCAGGCCTAAATTGGACGATGTTAGGTCCATTTTGGCGCCATGTTAGGGTCAATGTTTCGGACGCCAAAGTCGCTCTCTGGAAGACAGACGTTTGAGATATGGACTTCTTGGGCTAATGTGGCTGAAATGAGACCTATGTTGGGCCAGTGTTCAAGCACAAATTTTGGGCATTTCGGACTCTGAGCCAAACCCTGCCGTGCGGGCGGTTGCCGTCGCGAAGCGGCGCGAATTGAGCACCAGATTTGAAGAAATTTAGCACCAGAAAAAGCAGAACTGGAAGCGCAAAAAATAGCACCAGATTTGACGAACTTTCGCGCCAGAAAAAGCACAACTGGAAGCGCAAAAAATAGCACCAGATTTTGACGAAACCTAGCGCAAGAATAAGTGGCAGGGGAAGGCCAGAAACGCCAGCATTCCCAGGACCCAGCCCCACGAAACCAGCTATCGTGCCCCGGTTCGGCGCCCCGGTTCCCAGGGCCCAGCCCCACAAAAGCCGTTAATGCAAACCCTGAGATAGAAGGTCAACAAGGTCCAGAAGGTCTGAGGTTACCATTCATGAGGTCCACTCCCCCTGAATAATATGCTATGAGGCCATTAGACCATGAAGGTTGATACCGTGGGTTTTGAGAAGGGATGAAGTGAGGCCTGAATAGGTTTCGCGAAGGGATGAGCTGACGAGTATTGGCTGGCAACTGAGATGGGCAGCATGCTTTGGGAGAGGTGAGCAGCATGATTGGATAGAGATGAGCAGCATGATGATGGTAGCTGCACCATGCTCAGAATTTTTTAAAGTTGATCTAATGATTAAAAACAAACGAATATATTTTCTGTGTGGACTCGGTTTAACTAGGGGGGTCTATAAATCCTACCTCTGCATTGCAGGGAAGGCCGAGCCGGTTCCCAGAGTCCAGAAAGCGCTTAAAGGAAAAGCGCCCCGTCCAATTGCAGAGGACCAGCCTCACGAAAGCATTTGACAGGAAGAGCCCCGCCCCAATTCTCACAGGGCCCCGCCCCACGAAAGCATTCACAGGGAAAGCAGCGTCCCCGTTCCAAGGCGCAGCCCCACGAAAGCATTCTAAAAGGGGGCCAGCCCTGCGAAAGCATTTTAAAGGAAAAGCAGTCGGCTTGAACGCAGGACCCAGCCCCACGACAGCATTTAAAGGAAAAGCGGCGCTCCAATTCTGACAGGAAACTTACAGGGAATAGCGCCGCCCCGGTTTCCAGGGTCCTGCCCCACGAAAGCATTTTAGAGGCCGCAGAAGCATTTAAAGGCAAAGCGGTGCCCCGATTCACACAGGACCCGGCGCCACGAAAGCAATTACAGGGAATAGCAGCGCCCGGTTTTCAGGGCCTAGCACCACGAAATCATTTCTAAAGAAAAGCCGTCGTCTTGCCCACAGGACCCAGCCCACGAAAACATTTAAAGGCAAAGCGGCGTCCCAATTCCCACAGGACCGAAACAACTACTACGGCTCTTGGCGTCTCCCTTCTGGGCAGGGGATCTGGACTTGCCTTTAGACCCTTTTTCCTTCGGGATAGGGCCTCTGTTGGCTGGTGGCTGCGTTGGTGTCCGTCGGGGCGACGATGGTTCGTCGTCAGTTCTGCGAAACGCCGGCGGGCGCATTCATATAAGATTCCCCCCACTTCCGTGTCAGGTAGGTCTCTTCCTGAGCGGCATAGAGGTACTCTTCGTCATTGGGGTCTTCCTCCTAGTAGGCACCCTCATAGTCTTCACCCTCATAGGTCTCGAGCTCTTCGTCGCCAGCTTCATAGAGCTCTTCAGGGAAGTCGTCGAGGTCATAGGCGGTGTATGCCGACCGAGGTTTCTTCCAGCGGCTGTTGCCATTTCCACTCGTTGGTGGTGACTGTAACCAACTCCGCCTCTGTAGTCCTGGCCGAAGAGGTAGTGCGTGGCTTCTTCAACTTTGGCCTCCTGCAGGGTGGGGCCACATTGAGATTGCGCCATGTGCTTTTGCTCTTGGGTCAAGCCACTTCGACGAAGCAGGAGCCATCCAGTAACTTCTGTCGGCGACTCAATGCCATGCTTCTCCACTTCTCTCAAGCATTCGCGATGCCCAGTGCAGTATAGGCCATCTACGTCTGATGTTCACCACATCGGGAGAGGGAGTAGAAGAACTTCTCAAAAGCTCGAGGTTGTTCGACGCTCTGGTCGTACTTGAAGGTCCGGTCAAGAACTTCTATGAGCTTGGTGAAGCCATTGTCCTTATCATCGCTGATGGCCTCAGCGATAGGCTCGATCTGCTTCCAGGCAACACCTGACAGGTTGGTGACGATGTTGATGATCCCTCCCATGGGTTTCTTCTGTATCACTATCTTCTTCTGGTAAAGATGGATTCGAGCATGCCGTTCTTTGTAGTCCGAGGGCTTGTTGCTGAACTGGGGGGCCCAACTGTCTTTGGAGGAATTTGTAGCGCTCGTCGATGATGTAGCCACCGGTTTGGCGATCTCGAAAGCAGCGCAGGTAGCGTATGGAGCTCGAGCCCGTAGGCGCCGCTACCAATTTGATGGTAGCGCCAACGTGAAGCACCGCTCGAAGTGCGCTCCAACTCAAGAAGCAAAGCTGCGAAGGCGGCCGCGGACTTTTCGCGGACAGGTTGCCACTTAAGGCATGGCGTCGCGTGACGACTCTCAGCCCTGAGCTGGAAAGGGTGAGATTTGTGCCGAAAGGGTCGCCACTCCAAAGCTTGCGAACCTGGAAGGCTCGAGCGAAAACGAAACGAGCCAATGTGCTGTTGCGCACTCACAATGCCTTTATCGTTTCCTTAATTTGGTCGATTCTTTTGAGCCCCCCCTGGCCTTACTCGTTTGAAGCCTATAGCTACGGATGTCGATTTCGCTGTCAGCCCAGTCGAATCCAAGTGTTTCTCCCAGGCCATTGGTCTTCGCTTTCCTCGAGTGCTGCGCTTACGTCCAGACAAGGGCCCAGAGTGGCTCGGAAGAGATTTTGGGAAGCGACAGGCAAAAGCAAGGAACCGTTGGCTGTGCTGTGGCGTTTCTGATCATGATTGAGCACGTTAGTTTTTGCACGTCCCGTGCATCAACTCAAGAGTGAACAGCATGTTGCTTCCAGCGTATGATGCTTGCGCGAGCCTCAGCCTCTACGCCCGCCACGCCCAAGGCAGGCGACAACGACTGAGCAGGTCGTGTCAATGTACAACGACCAACCGCAGATCAAGTCAGTGCGACGAAGCACCAAGGGCTCTGGAAAGCCCAAGGCTGAGCCCATGACAAAGCGCATGGCAAAGCCCGAAGCTGGTTTAAAGCGGAACATGATGAGGATGGGGATGGCTGTGGTCACAATGTGAACTCCAGAAGTACTAGCTAGAAGTAAGAGGCAAGCGTGCGACCTCTTACAATGTACCTTCTGTGATGAGATCTAGAATTTGCACTTTCGACTCGATTTGGTCGAGAAAGTTTTGAGGTTTCCGCTTCGAAGGGTGCGAAGGCTGGGAAAGGGTGAGGCCCACCTCCGGCGAGGCCTTTGGGATTTGCTCACTGCTGAGGTGAGGCTGATGCCGGTGGGTACTGTGTGGGCCGCGCCCACCGCCCATCTGAAAGGACCTTCGTCATGGAGGTGGGGGATTTTTTCAGCCAACAACAACTCCGATTGTGAAGCCTTATGCTTTTGGACATGCATTAGCTGCTAGCCACCCCCTTCCGCCCAGTAGCTTTGTTTGTGGGGAATTGTAAGTACTTAAAAACTGTGTTCCTTCGTTCTCACATTTTTTTCCATCTCTTCTGCCAATTTTGCAAGTCACTTGGTCGACTTTAATAGCTTCAATCGGACCGTGGCATCCACATCCACAAGGTCCTAGCGAGGTGGCCCGAGTTTCGGCCCTTCCACGTGCATTCCCGGCGAGTCTTTCGCCACGGGCTCACGCTGTTGGAGCCCCAAGGGCCATTAGGCCGAGCGACAGAGCCGGAGCGACGGCCATGTGGTGCATTCCTGCCTGAGGCTTCAACGTGGAGGGCTTCTCACGAAGGCACTCCGGCGGATTCAATTCGGGTGTTGCCTGGGCATCCAACCAATCATTGGTGGGTTTGGGTGCTGCCACGTGCAAGGAGAACCCATGGGGCGCTTTCTGAGCGACCGCTTGGGACAATGAAAAAATTCTCTATCCATGCCACGTTCAGAAGCTGGACGCAAGTACAACTGCAACTGACTGTAGAATTATAGTTAGTTAGTTTTTGCTTTGTCCTTGTGGCTTCAGCTGTGAGTGCAGAATTATGACAGCAAACCAGCCAGAAAGACTGGACCGAACGCAGAAATGCAAGAGCCAACCACCCAAACGCTGCTCTCTCACTCCTTATACTGTATCTATCTCTTTGTCTCTGTCTCTCTCTCTCTCTAACTGTCTATGTCACCGTATATTTCTAGCAGGGCACAAGCCTCAAAAAAGAGACATAAAAAGACAACAACTGTAAGAAAAACTGATTTGGGATACGCGGCCATGTGAGGAAGATGATTCAAAGCTTTTGGAGCTTTGCTTGGCCACAGGAGAAGGATGAGTCACCGCAATCCCCGGAGACCATTCCAGAGGAGAAGCGAAGCTGGGCAAGTGTCTTTGAACACTTCCGGGAGAAAGGTGAAAACTCTGAGACGAATTCGGCTTCTTCTGACCTGAAGGCCTTCCGCAGCTTCGCCCGACGCGCGCATCAGCTGCTGGAGCGACAGCAGCAGAGGGCAATCCAGAGCCGTCGAGCTGCGCTACATGAAAGCTCCCTGCGAACGGAGCGCTTGAGCCTGGCGCTGGCTGAAGCGGAAGAGTTGGAAGACCTTCTGAAGCAGGCAGGGTTGACATAGAGATGGTAGAGAAGGTCATATGCAAAGACAGTTCAACCTGCAAATTGTCTCACTGTAACTTCACTGAGGTGATATCTGAATGAGCTTGACTGCTTACTGTAGCTGTCTTTCTATGGCTAAAGAATGGTGCATAAGACAGGGATGTCCCTTATCCATCCTTATCCCCTTATCTCTTCATCTTACTCATGTCCACGATGTTCTCAGACATAAAGACAAGGCTGTCTACGCCCAAACAGGAAGAACCCCTTGAAGGAATCACTCTTGCAGAAATACTCTATGCTGACGACATTGATTTTTGGCGACCACACGCCTTCAATACTATATATAAACTGCTCGACGAAATAGAAGTGGAATCCTCCTACTACAACATGAAACCCAACTACGGAAAATGTATTAACATGACTAAATATCTAGATGGAACTAAGGTCCCACCACGAGACAGTCGTCCAGTATAGCTAGGATCGTTATTGACAGATACGGTGAGTAACGCAGCAGAAAGAATGACAACTTTCAGACAACTCAAGATCTTCTGGGACAAGGCGCATACCATTACAAATTGGAAACTGCGCGTGTTCAAAGCAAACATACAATCAAGACGTATGTACAGCCTGGAAGTGATCCAACTCACTCAATCTGAACTAAACAAACTAGATATTTTTCAGATGAAGGGGCTGAGACGAATTCTCAAAATACCATCAACTTTCATAGATTGAGCACACACCAACCAAGTCGTACTGCAAAAAAGCAAACACGCATGGAGTGTATATTCAACAACTCTGAGATTTTTGGAGACACAGGAAGATACTGTAAGTCTATTACTGTAGGCCACATTCTCCGAGCAGATGCAAACAATCCTCTCAGACAGGTCATTCTTGAAAACCAAACGTGCATCCCACGAAAACCACCATATCGAAGGCAAGGGGGGGGCCGAGAGTGGACTGGCTAACTGAAACGGTGGAAGACACTTTCCATTTTCTCGGACACAACCCGCCCCAAGAGCCAAGCCTCCCAAGACATATGAAAGGCTCCAAAATGCCGCCAGGAACCGAGCATATCCATTTTGAGGAAAACAACAATCTAGCAATCTCTGAAAAGAAGGGCGCTGCCCCATCAGCCTACGGGCTTACACAGTAATTGCATAGCGAAGGACACTTGCCTTTCCCCGAGCCTCGTGTCACCTCGTACTATGTTCATTTTTAACCCGAACAAGTGAACGCTTGTTGCGCCGCGTTCCGGCAAACTCCTTGCCTGGTATATGCACATCACAATGTGAACACATTAGATTCAGCTCCTCTTGTGACAGACCTGCCCGCTTCCCAAAGGCCCAAAGGAACGGCCCTGTCAGGTAGAGCCCTCCTCGAAGGTGTCTGAGTCCGACGTCGAGCGGCTCTCGGGCTGGTCGACCTCAGCCTCCTCGACACGGGCGAGTGGGGTCAGTGGGGCAAGCGGCTCCAGTGGTGCAGCAAGCCAGCCGGTGCAGTTGTTGTCGGGGTGGGAAGGCGAAGATGTCGAAGCTAGGCAAAAGTTGGGGCTGCTCCAAAGTGCCATGTCCCAAGCTGCCGGCGAACTGCGCTCAGGGCTTTTGAGACTGTCCAAAGACTCACCCAAAGAATTGTCAGAGGACTTTCCAGGCATACTGGCAACCTTCTTGCCCCAGTTGGCACAAAGCTGCGCCGATGCGATGCAAGTGGGTGAAGACGATTGGGCCACCGCAGAAGCTTGTCTCTTGGAGGCCTTGGCACAGACCTCACAGATGACTATGACGCTTGAGCCTGCAGATCCAGATTTCTGCATGCCTGACTTGGATCATAGCAGCCTCCCTGAATAGTGCTGGTGAAAACACTGTAAGTAAGCTAAGCTTTAAGCCATCTGGTTGGGTTTTAGGACTTCAATTTTGAGGTACAAAGGCAGGCGTTTGATGCAATCCTTGCTGGTTGGTGGAAGAGTTGGACCATGCTAGACCTTTGATGTGATCATGCTTTGTTTCCCAGGCATTTTTGCAAGGCTCCATCTATCCTGAAAAACTGGGGTCCGTGATGGGCCTTCAGTTTCTGCAGCTTGGCACCCGAGGTACTCTTTTCACCGAGATGCCCGGAGTGCAACTTCTCGAGGAGCAGCATGACCAGCGGGCGTTGCAGAAACTCTTGGAGAGAATCGAGGCATTGAGCCAACGTTTTCAATCCGAAGCGCCGCCGCCCGTGCCCGAAGCGGCGCGAGGGCAAGGGCTCAAGGGGCTCAAGGTCCAAACGCTCCGGAGTGCAAAGCTGGATGAGCTAGAGGGGCAAGTGCAGAGGTTTCTTGGGAACCGTTTTGACACTGTGTTTGCGTTATCTTGGGGAGACTGTTTTCAATGGTTTTGTTGCAGTTTAGTTGTTCACTATATGACTATGCTGTTCTAAACTTTGGCATGCCAGCTTGCGGCTGCTTTTGGCGGGACGCTGAGGTTGGTGGAGGAGAACCAAGCTTTGGAAGAGAGGTTGGAACAGGAGCGAGCGCGTGTGGAAAGCCCTCCATTAGGCTGGGCCAGTTTCAGTAAAAGATATCCTTTTCAACCCTAGCAACACTATGGCACCACGAGGCCACCGACGACATCTTGACAAGAAGCTCTCTCCAGCAGATTCTTGGAAACATGTGCGAGAGAGAGGTAGATGATCAGGTAGGTGGATGGGTGGCAATGTAGAAGGAAGGCAGGAAGGAAGGAAGGAATGATGGATGGATGCATTGGATGAATCTTTTTCCAGAGATTGTGGTTGCTCGGCTGGGTCTTGCTGCGGCCCTGTTGCGGCTCTTCAAAGACGTCGGACTCGGGCAGTGCCTGCGGCTCCTGGTTTGGGGTCACCTATGCCTCCGTCGCCTGGCTTGTCAGGGCCGGGCTCGAGTCGGGCAAAGTCACCTGAAACGGCGGTGCACCCACAGTCGCAGTGCCAACGCGAGACTTGCAACCCACCGCGGCCCGAGCACCGGCTAGGCACCGCGCCACATCGTGCTCTCGTGCTACACACACTGCCGTCGTTTGCCAATACCCTCGTTTAGCCTCAAGTTTTCTGCGTGTTGCTGCCTCTTCGGCGTCAGCACTTGGTTGTTTCAGCAGTCCCTGCAGCTGACAAGTCTTTAGTTTCTAGGTCCAGTTTATGAACGATACTATAACCTGTGGGATTTGTCGACTTTGGTCGGTCCCCTGAAGCTCTGTGGGTCATGTAATCGGTGAGCTCAGCCGGACTCTGGAGTTAGTTCACCTTGCCCACTCGGTCTTCCGTACAGTACATTGGCGATGCTTGTGCCCCAGTCGGACGCTGTCATTCCAAATCGGTTCTTGGAGTTGCTGCCCTTGCACAGCTGCCAAATCGTGTCACAGGAAAAGAATCGAATCACCGGGAAAGCGAAGATGCCGTGGTGATGGTGCACGACGGGGTAGTCCAGCTGCGGGATTATTCAAAGTGCAAGCTAGCCCCCTCGAGGAGTTCAGTGATGGGATGAATGTCTCCAGCGGTCTTTGTGAGAAAGACACATTTGGGACCCTCAGTGGCGGCGTTGCCCTAGGACCTAGGAGATCACGTGTAGTCCCTACAACCTAGGACCTAGGACATTTTGCGGCGCCAGCTTGAGCACTTGTGTCTTGACCCGTGGGTGGATGGATGGATGGAAGGAAGGATGGATGGATGGATGGATGGATGGGTAGATCGTAGGTGTGTACACCAGTAGATCCAGAGATAGACAGAGAATGGAAAGACAGATCTAGGCAGAGAAGATGCCGTGTGTTGGCAGGGCTGTTTCCAAGGTTTTCACACGCCTTCCAGGGCTGTTTCCATGACTTGTGTTGAAGAAGGTTCGGCCTCGGCATCCTTAAAGGACGTAATTGTAAAGTGGGGATAGACCCACAGCAAAATCAATCACGTGGGGACGCGCCCACAGCGAGAGTAATGTTGTGGGGATGAGCCCACTGCCAGTTGATCTAGTGGGGCTGCACCCACTGCAAATGCTTTTAACCGTATGAGGACGGCTCCTCGCCATATACTGTTTTCTTTCTGCTGCGATTCAGCTCCCACCCGCCCTACCTGCTTGCTGTGAAAAGGCGTTTGACTTTGTTCAAGTCCTTTTGCTTTACACATTTCGCACTGTCCACAGTTTCTTTTGGACACAATCACCATTCGCTTAAAGAGAAGCATTCAAACATCGATTCTTTATATCTTTCCGGGCGCGAGAAGAGAAATTAAGCCAGCAAACATCATCAGCAACGGAATTGGCACCGTCACGAAACACGGCAAGCATAACATCTTGAATCTTGAACAGGAATATATTTCGTGAGACCATCGGACACGTTTCGTGGTCCAGGAAACCACTTTAGTACAGCGTTACGCGTTGGCTCATCCTCTTTGCATTGGTCAGCAAGTGTGTCCTTCAGTTGCGCAATGTCAAGCGCAAACATGCGATCTTTGGAAACACCTTTTTCCGTGGTCAAGTGGTCATAAGGCGTTGGTGATTCGATGCGACCTGCCGACACAGCCATGTATTATGCGGCGCATCCTGCGAACGGGAGAGTCGTGTTCATGAGATCAAGTACCAGGTGCCCCTCGTGTTCCTTCAGCGCTTCCTTGCGCAAACCTAATGTGACTGAGTTGACCTTATTGGCCACAAAATCTACCACTAACTGTTTGCTGCCGAAGGTGTGTGGGCTCCGGCCCAAAAGTAAGGGCATCTGTCCTGCGGCAACTGTGACAAAAAGGAAGGCTGCTTTGTTGAACAGCCAAATGTCCACTTCAGCGGAAAAGAGTGCCTTTAGCCGGCCATTGTTCCCGAAACGGAACACGGCATCTGAGTCTTGGCGGACGAGTGGCCCACTTTCAGTCAAACGTTTCTCCCAAGCCAAAAACGGCGTCAGTCCCATCACAGTTTGCTGGCATCCATAGTCTACGATTTCCACCGCTGCTGGGCACCGCTACCCCTGGTCACCGGAGGCAGTTTTCAGAGCCAGTGAGGAACTCTGAACTCGGTGGCCAACTCGACTCGAAGGAGTTTGGTGCTTCTTTCTTGGCTCACCACCAGGACTTCATGTCGGGTTAAACTTGGGGCAAATAGCATCGCCTTCCCAATCTCCCCGTTGGTGGCACGCTCGGCGCTCGGAACATGCCTTTGCAGCAATCTGGCCTTCCCTCTTTTCTTTGGACTGGCCCTGGCCTTTTCGGCAATCTCTTTGTTGCACCTTTGCTGTTTTGTACAGCGCGTAGACATCATGGCCCTGCTTCTCGGCCTGCTTCGCAATTCTCATGACTCATGGCCTCAACGGCATCTGATTCTTGCACGCTGGCGCCTTCCACGCCGCTGCATTCATCATCCTCAGACAGGGAGCCATCTGAGTCGTCTTCCTGGCCTTCTTCCTCTTCGAGAATTGCCTGCAAATGCGCTCCTGGACCATGAACGCTCCTCGCTCTCGCCCTCTGTCTTCTCGTCTCCGTTCACTGGGTTGCAGCGCAACATGGGAGGGGAACAGTCTCTTCAAGGCAAAAGCTTTCATGCTCACTGCAGTGTGCGGCTCCGCGCGCACGGCTCTTTTCTTCGGACGAGAGGCTGCCCTTTTGCATCAGAAGCCAGGCGAAAAATTTGTCGGAGATATTCATTTCCTCCTCTTCTTCTTCCAGCTCCCGGCGCGCCTGCTTCAAGCGCCGTATGTATCCTGACATTGACTCACCGTTCTCCAGCCTGTCTTCCTCCATGCCACGGTATTCTTCGTCCAAAGCCGTCAAAAGACGACGCGCGCGCCTTTTGTCTTTCAGCTTCTTGGCTGACAAGTGGGGGGTGACTTCCAGCGCTTCTCCGGTCATGTTTAATTGAAGAGCCACCCCGGTCCCTTCCTTTCCACTAGTTGTGCGTACCGCTTGCTGCTCTGCGGTTCCCTGTGCCTGGATTGCCATAGAAGGCGGGAATGCGTGCATTCTTGGCCTTCCGGTGGTGTTTCTGCTTCTTCTTCTTTCTCTTCCCACCTGGTGATCGCCCGCTGGACGACGAGGAGGGCAACCAACGAAGATGGGCCACTCGGAGGCCCTCTTCTTCGCTCTTTCTTCGTCTTCTTCTTCTTTTTCTTCTCCTCCTCCTCCTTCTTCTTCTTCGTTCTCCTGTCTGAGTCGGTTCTAGTGGAAGCTGAGGAACAGGAAGAGGTAGAGGAGCGTGAGCTCCCCTGTCTGTGGCTTAAGCGCCATCGTGCTTCGGCGTTCCCATACCATGACGGTTCACTCCGATCCGTCCTGCGTTCATGTGAGCGGGGTGCACGGGGATGGGACAGGTAAGACCAAGGGTCTAGGTTCTCTTCTTTTTCTTTCTTCTTGCCGTGCTTACGTTCTGTGCCTTCTCTTGTAATCTTTGCCTTCTTCTCTGATGTTTTCTCTTCTGCGCAAGCCGGGCCAGTGCTCCGCTACCAATGTATAGTGGGGAACGTGGGGACGCACCCACAGCGAGAGTAATGTTGTGGGGATGAGCCCACTGCCAGTTGATCTAGTGGGGCTGCACCCACTGCAAATGCTTTTAACCGTATGAGGACGGCTCCTCGCCATATACTGTTTTCTTTCTGCTGCGATTCAGCTCCCGCCCGCCCTACCTGCCCGCTGTGAAAAGAAAGGAATAACGGTCGCTTGACTTTGTTCAAGTCCTTCTGCTTTACGCACTTCACAATGTTAAAACGTCATGGTGCCCAGCATGGACAACAGGTTGGAACGGCCCGGCTCAGGAGCGGCTTGCTTTGTCCAACCGGCTGCTACAGTCGAAGTCCACGAGGACATTGTCAGGCAGGGCCTTAATTTGCCGGATCAGGGAGGTGGCTGAGATCGCTGATTCGATGACCGGCAGAACCGTACAGAACGTAAAGGAAGCCAAGCCAGATCCAGAAATTGTGTGAAGATGTGTGCAAAATTCAAACTGTTTAGCTTAGCTTCTCGATTGCCAACATTTGCCATGTGGTGCAGGCGACCAATTCGGCAAACAGCCTGGTTCTCAGTGGCAGGTTCCGATGCGATTGGCGCTGTCGAGGCTACTTTTTCCCGAGTGGCCTGGTGTGCTTTGATTCAAACATATTTAAACCAAACGCCGAGTGACCGAGAGTATAGAAAAGACACGAAAAAACATGTTTTTTCCGGCTTTGTTCCAACGGCCGGCGCTCTTGCACATCCCGATTCTCGCAGTGTCAAACGCATGGACCGCCGCGTGCGGAGCTCCCAAGGCAAAAATTCAGTGCTCAAAGGTGCTGGCGGGATGTCACCGGAGTCGGCCACGAAGTCGCTGTTGTGTTGCTTGGCAACTGGGCCAGGCGGCTCGTGTTGGAGATGCGGAAGGAACTAGCGGAGACCTACGAGGCCCAGAAAAATAGTACCAGAAATTTGTGACATTCTGGATTGGGAGGGTGCTGCCCTAGTGTGTCAAAAAAATTCAGTTATGAACTCACCCTGTGTGTTCGTATTTGGTTGTGTTCAATCAGCTTCGTTGAACTTTATTCCTTTGCCAGGTCTTGGCTTTAAGGCGCGGTCCTGAGTGTTGTCAGGGACAAGATTGTTCACGCGAAACCAGCAGTCTTTGTGTTTAGTCTAGGTAGAGGTGGGGGGGCATACTGAAGAGTAAACCTTGGACTGAAATTAGGTTGACAAATTGGTGTTGTTTGACTCTGGGTCGAGTCAAATTTTTTTAAGTCCCCGACCATTATCCGATATTTCATATAAGAGACGGTTTGCAAGGATTTCTAGGTTGTATATATATATATATTTATATAGATTTAAGAATAGTTTTTGTTGGATTTTTCAGATTTTTGTTGACAACGCTAGGGGATCAAGGGGATCCGGAACGGACCGTTTAAAGACACAACTCACTGGGTAGTGCAGCAATGCTTTTTGAGGTCTTTGTCCTCACAAGAGCGACGCCACTTCTTGGCACGTGTGGGGCTCGGATAGGACAGATAAGTATAGTTGCCCTGTGGATGCTGGGTTTGGTGTTGCCCGTACTTAAGGCAGAGCGCCTGTCATTGCGGCCACGCCAAAGGCCTTCAACGTGCCCCCGTTCTCATGTAGTTGCGAGGCTTAACTCCCTCACCCAGGATCCTAGTTTTGTGGTGGAGCTGTCTGTGGAGCTGTTCATGTTTTGAACGTGCGAGAGTTGGGATGTTCCACTAGTTCTCAAGGCTGATGCGGCATCATGCGTCTGCAGCATCTCAGCTCGTTTGTCAGTAGCAGTCCGGATGGCGCTTGGCTGAAATGCTTTGTGGCATAGCTCCGGTTGCATGCAGCACAAGGCGCCGTGTGTCATCGAGACTCGAGCAGACATGGGTCGGCTTTCACGCTTTCCCTCTACAGATCCGCAGATATATCAGCAACATAAGCAACTGTGTTTGGAACCTATTCCAGAAGGGCCATTCCAGAGAATGATGATGATGGTGATGATGATGATGATGATAGCAATCGAATGCGCGTGACCAAGTTTCTCACGTCACAAGTTGTAATTGGCAAGTAGCAAGTCTTCCCAGTTTTTGGGCAGCTTTGTGGCTGTAGAGGACGCCTTCTCAAGGCGCCTGCGTAGGGAAGCGAAGGGCTCAAGGGAAGAGAAAGACTTGTGTTGAAACTGGCAAACTTCAGACAAATACAGACTTAGAGTTGGAGCAAGTGTTTCTCTTTTGAATTCGTTTGATTGTTTTTTGTGTTTTAATGTTTTCGTTTCGTCTTCATTCTTTTTGGTGCAGTTTGGAAGTTACAGGCTAAGGTGGGTGCCCAGGCCAAGCAGCCCTTGCCTTTTTCCCTGGAGAGGCCGGGGCCCGCAAGCCGAGAAATCCTGTCCAATTTACGAGTAGTCAATTCAGAACCTCTGCGCCAGTGGGAGGTGCAAGCGCAAGCAGCCTTGCAGTAGTCCTGGCAGTGTCACTTTTAGTGGCCAAAGAATGCAGAGGCAAGCGGACTGAAAGCCAACTTTCCAACTTTCAGCGGATGAGTTGGACATGTTTGGAACAAGTGCCCGCCCTTGAGTAGAACATAGTGGAACCTTGCCCCCTGGTATCGTTCTAGGAGGCAGCAGGCGCTTGAAAATGGCAATGGCAAGCTTCGGCGGGGAGCTGGAAGCAGAGGTTAAGGCTGCAGCTGATGTGCTTTGGAGGATTTTATGCTAGATTGTTTCCGTCATGAAGACAGAGTGTCGGGAGATGTTTAGGAGTTGAGGCTGGCAGAGCTGCTTCGCGTGTCCCATCGTGACTTTTGAGAATTCGAAGTCGTAGGAGGCCCAGAGAAGTGAATCTGACTGCGAAGTGTGTGAGTCACTCGAGGTTGTGCAGAAAGCTCTCCTGTAGCTAGGTTGCAAGAGCTGCGTTCAACGTGAAGCTGAAGTGGTCAAGAAGCGTTTGCGTGATTGGTGACTTCGTATTCCAACCGTGTTTGTTGGTTAATGCAATAGTATCAATTGCTCAGATGCAAGGTTGGTGCAAGCATTGGCGTGTGATATGGACGCCAGCTACTTAGTGTTCATGTTTTCCCCAGAGCCAGCTAGAAGGGTTCTTACTTCAATGGTGTGGCTCTGGATCGGCGTTTTGTTTTGCCCGTGCTGGTGCTGCTGCTGGTGCTGGATAGGCGTTTCGCTTGGGCGTGCTGGTGCTGGTGCTGGGTGCTGGCGCAGGTGCTGGTGCTGGATCGGCGTTTTCTTGGAGCTTGCTGGTGCAGGTGCGGATGCTGGGTGCTGGCGCGGGTGCTGGTGCCGGATCGGCGTTTGCTTGAGGCGTGCAGTGCTGGTGCTGGATTGGCGTTTTCTGGGGGCGTGCTGGTGCAAGTGCAGGTGCTGGTGCATGTGCTGGCGCGGCCTCCGCCTCGTTTTGGAACGCGAATTCAGCCCGTTTCGGAACGCGGATTCGGATCGTTCTGGAACGCGGGTCAAATGGTTTCTGGGGAGTGGTTTCTGGCGAGTGGTTTCTGGGAAGTGGTTTCTGGGGACTGGTTTCTGGCGAGTGGTTTCTGGGAAGCGGTTTCTGGGAACCGGTTTCTGGGAGTGGTTTCTGGGAAGTGGTTTCTGGGAAGTGGTTTCTGGGGAGTGGTTTCTGGGAAGTGGTTTCTGGGGACTGGTTTCTGGTGAGTGGTTTCTGGGAAGCGGTTTCTGGGAAGTGGTTTCTGGGAGTGGTTTCTGGGAAGTGGCTTCTGGGAAGTGGTTTCTGGGGAGTGGCTTCTGGGGAGTGGTGAAGGCCTAAGTTCAACCCAAAGACATCCTAAAGAAGCAAGGCCGTAAGCCAAAGCAATAGAAACCCTAAAAGAGCGAAGCCCTAAGCCTTAAGCAAAACCAAAACAGACCCTAAAGAAGTGAAGCCCTGAGTCAAACCCAAAGACATCCTAAAGTCAAACCCAAAGACATCCTAAAGACGTGAAACCCTAAGCCAAAGCCAAAGACATCCTAACGCTGCAAAGCCCAAAGCCAAACCAAAAGAGACCCTAAAGAAGTGAAGCCCTAAGTCAAGCCCCCCCC